AAGAGTTCTGTGTGTCTATGATTCCTTGGTCCTAAATGTCTTCTGAGTCCTGCCTCTGTGGTCACCAGTCCTACAGGACTTCAAGCTGCTCTGACCCATTCACAACCCCCACCAGCTTGGCTCTACGCAAGCCCACTGGGGTGGGAACCCCAAACCAGGGGAGCACCCAGATGGCCCCCGAAACCTGCCTGTCACTCTGTGGGGCCCCTGGCTCCTCAGCAATGCTGCTTGGGTTGCTGGATGGAGTTTGGGGCTCCTGGTGGGGTGAACGGGTTACTCACTCCCAAATACAATTCCCACCCCATCAGACACTGCCAGCTGGCCAGGGCTGAGGGTCCAGCCAAGGCTGGTGGACACCAGGAGGCCTAAGGCCTTGGCTGCTGAAGCCACACCCTGCTGCACCCGGCTCTGGGGGTTCTGGGATGGCCCCTTGCTCCCACGGCTCTCCCACAGCCTTTGGGTTCTCCTCGCTCTGCTCCCCTGGGACTCCTGCCTGAGCTCCCCACGGCTTCTCCAGGCCCCAGCACCCAGGGCCCACAGACCACCAGAGCCAGGAGGAGAACCCCTCCTGGGGCCACCACCCCTCACAGCCCCAAACCAGGCTGTCACACAGGGTCGCTCTCCCAGCACTGAGGCTACTTTCTCAGGAGCGGGTGGGGGGAGCCCGCAGAGGCCTGCAGCTGTGGCCTCGGAGAACAAGGAAGTTCTGTCCCTGCAGAGGAGCCCCAGAAATGCCCGGGGGAGGGCCACCCCATGACTGCTGGCTGCGCAGAAACCATTGCTGGGGCCACATGGCCACCAAGCCAGTGTGGCCAATCCATGGGGGCCAGCTCTTCCTACGGTTCCCCTGGAAGGGCGGGCCACGTTCAGCTCAAATCCCAGCTCTGCCACTGAACCAACAGCATGGCCCCAGCAAGCTACTTCTTTCCTCTGAATCTCAGTCTCCTCTTCTGTAAAATGGGACTAGAGGGCACTACCTCAGGGGGGAGGGGGAGCAGTAGAGTGAAGAGCTACATGCAGGGTCTGGCACATAGTAAGTGCTCAATAAAGTTCGCTGCTGCCGGTATGGTTATCATGGGTCGTCGTCACCCACTGATGCAACAAGGGCAGCAGAAAAGGGATGAGGCCTGGCCCCTGACGGTGTCTTCCTTTCATTCTCGAGGGCAACACACCTCTCTTCGCCTGTGCCTGCCCCCTCTCCTAGGTCCAGCCCCACTAAGACCTGCTCCCCACACCCCCTCCAGCCTGGTCCCCAGCCTCTGTTTCTCACCCATTGCCAAAGCACAATGGCTGTTATAATTAACGGATTATCTCAGTGCGACAGCTGTGGTCCTTTGAAAATTGGGTTGAATAACAAGATCCTGGCGTATGGTAATTTCTTTTCATCTCCTGCTCCCTCTTTCTCTCTCCCTCACTCCAGCCTTGTTATGCATGCAAATGTTTTTCCCCCTTTTCCCTCCTCCTCCAACACCTTCCCCCTCCAGATGGCGAGGGGACAGACTGGGTTCTGCTTACCCTGCCAGTCTGCTTTCCAGTGACAAGGCAGGTGGGAACCAGCCTCCTGGGCCCTCCTGTGCACCTGGCACTGGGAGAGTGCCTGACACATGTGACTTCTGTCATCTCCCCTCCGACCTATGTCCTGACACCTTCCTCCTACCTCCCGGGCTGCCGGCCTCCAGCTCCGCTGCCTTCCTTGAGGTCCTATCCCAGCCCCCTGCCCTCCTCCTCCAGCCCCCTCCCCATCTCATTCCCTCCCAAGGCTTCTTTTGTCAACTTCCAAGTGCTGACCATGCCCAAACCGCTGGTCCCAGCTGCCTCCTTCCTGGCACCTGAAACTCCACTCCTCCACATCCTCTACTGGACTCACCTCCCGCACCTGTCCCCTCCCCACTGCTGCTTCTGCTCCCCCATTCCCTGACCACCAAGAGGCACCCACGGCTGCCCAGCTCCCTGTACCTGGAAAGTCTATGTCAGCACCCGCCCCACCCACCACCAGGCACTTGGCAGAGCATGTGATCCTCCTGCCCACAGCCAAGGATGACCGGTATCAAACCCATCTCCCACGCCCACCTCACGGGTCATATCTGGCTTTCCCAGAATCCTCTAGGTTATTCAGATGACTGCCTACCTACCCTCCCGTCCCCAAGCTGACTCCTGTCTCCCTGTACCTGGAAAGTCTATGTGCCTACCCACGACTCCTGCTCTGCTCCCACCTTCTTCCCTTCCCCAGTTAGCACCCTCACTGGTCTCTGCCCAGTCTTACCGCCCCTTCCACCCATCCACCCAGCAGAAGATGAGCAAATTCTAAAGCGTAAATCTGAGCATGGCACTCTCCTGCTCAGAGGCCTTCGTTGGCTCCCTACTGCTCTGGGGAAACTGGGGTCCTGTGGAGCTGGCTCCTGCTCTCCTCTCGGGCCCTCCTGCCTCCCCCCACCCGCCAATTAATATGGTAGGACTGGGGTCCTTCTGTGGGTTCTCACTGCCCCCTGGGCTTCCTCCATCATATCTGGAATCATAACTGCTGCTTTCACACCTGGACTGAGTTCTGGATTAGAACCCAGCACCGGGCCCCAGGAGATGCTCACTACAGATCTTAGTGACTGAAGGAAAGAGGCCCATTCCCCCTTTATAGATAAGGACACCGAGGCTCAGAGCAACGACTTGCTCAAGATCACACCGTCTGTGCAAGACAAAAGCAGGATCTGAACCCAGGTCTGTGATTCCAATGTCAGTCTTTTCCACGCCCTGGAAGGTGGGCAGGGAGGGGGGGGCGGTGCTGTGCGGTCAGCCTCTGCCCAAATCTCCGGGGACTTGAACAGAGATAAGAATTAATAAGGAGATGGGGCTCCCTACCCAGGATGTCACTGCCACGACCTTGAACTAGCCACATGACTCCCAGGGCCTCAGTCTGCTCATCTGTAAAGTGGGAAGGAGCCGCACCTCACTGTCCATCTCAGATGGTCACTGTCGGGGCAGAAACTCAGGTCTTAGAGAAAGCCCATCCTGCTAACATCTGAGGGATCCCCCCTTCCCCTCCAAACCCAGCTGCGGTGCCCTTAGCAGACACTCCTCAGGGCTTGGGGACTTTCTAGGATGGGAGATGTCACACGAGACAGATACACCCCCTTAGT